ACATGAGAAGACACATGAATATGGATACAACTCAAACAAAGAATCTTATTCTCAAGAGAATGTGTCATTCCCTAGAGTATCATTTCTTTGTTTAACTGTTGCACATGAGAAGACACATGAATATGGATACAATTCAAACAAATAATTTTATTTTGAAGAGAATAGACCATTTTCGAATTCCAAATTACCGCTGTGTTCCTTGATTACAGACTCATTTACACAGCGTTAGCCTCTTATCAGTGTCTAAATATTCACAAATACCAACGGTAAAGTAAAGAATGCACAACTTCAACAATACAAACACTTTGAAATTCCACGGACCTTCACTGGAACACATCAATATTATACACATAACGACGCTAACCCTGAGCAACAGAGAACTCGAAACTGGAGTATGACACTGTATGAAATCGTCTACAGTCTAGGCTGTTGAGCATGCGCAGTTAAAGCTGTGACGTTATTGTTATCGCTGTCTACACGTACGGCAACGATAACAAGCTGGCCTTTTTTAAATCCCTCGCTATCGCTGTTCATCCAGAGGGATGTTAGTGTTTTTAAAAACGTCCCACTGGAAACGATGGATCCCGAGGTAATCATGGTATTATCGTCATTTAGAAAGCATTCATATTTTTCTTGATCCTTGACAATTTCAGAGTGACATACCTGCTGCAAGATCTATTCTCGCTCTAGCCTTCCAGGCCAATCCCAACAGTGAAGAGATTTGGTTAGCTGCCGTTAAACTGGAGAGTGAAAATAATGAAGATCAGAGAGCAAGGTAAAAATACATAACCTCATCCCCATTTCATTAATCAACTTACGTTGGATGATTTTAACCTACCTAAATGTCTAGCTTGTCACATGACGCCTGCTGATCTGAGAATATATGTCATCCAATCACAATCAGGATCGAGAAAATTTGCAAAAAATATGTTTCACTTTTCCTCTTAAAGTTAAGGATTTCCACGCCACCAAATGAGAAAAAATCGTTGTTATCAAGAGGTTGATATAATTACATAATATTTAAGATGACTGCCTACTTTTGGAAATTGATTTCAGCTGTTTTTTAAACTTCGATTTTCCGAATTGAAATTTAATGCTGATTCCAAAACTGGAAAGAAAAATAGGGTGTCCCGAGCTTGTTTTCGAGATAATCAGCATTTAATGGAAGCCTTCGCACCCGGCTACGCACGAGCCGTTTTGGAGCAAAAGTTGCGCCACCGGAAGCGATTAGAAAATAAGTAAGATTCATAAGATAATAGTTATTTGCAGACTATATGAGTGCACGAATGAGGGCTAGTCAATCATTCTACAATAATACATGGAAATTTTTGACAAAAAGACAGAGAGATACATTGGTTTGTCATATTTTGTAGTTTCGGTGCTCTTAAAAAATCTCATAAAGTCGAACAAAAATCAATACAAAAATGTAGATATAACCTAGATTTTTAGGAGGTTTTTCGAATGAGCTATTAAAAAATAGAGTCCCGTGCAAATTTGAGGGTTTTGCCCTGTTGAAGCTCAAAACGCGTATGGTTCTTCAATAAAATCCTGTAGATTTTTCAGCGGTTTTTGAACGGGAGCACATCGTGGGCTCAAATCGAACGTTCAAAAGTAGGCAGCCAGCCACATTCATGAGTTTTATATTTTTATAGCAATAGCGGGAATGTTTTTATTTAAGCATTGGTCATTGGTTAGCGCGCTTCCACCCCACACTGATTAAGCAACACCTGTCCTAACTCTACTAACACTGATAAACATTTACGTTACTCGTGTTTTTGCTTTCATAGGAAGCTGCTTCAAAGAGCACGAATGAATGCATGTACCGCTAGGGTAAGGTTTACATTTAATACTCGTGATGGAACTTAAAATGTGGCGGGCGCCTATCCTTCTCCGCGCGCTAATTAATGGGATTCCTCTGTTGCATTTTATGCCACAGGAAGTCCAAGGAGCAAAAAAGAGCCAAGGAGGTGCCTGCGGTGGAGGCTAGGGGGCGCCCATTCATACAACACTTTTAGTGACGATAAGCAATACACCCCTCGCATGTGACGTCAAATCAGCTCAATTTGGAGCACAAAACAAAAGAATGCAATCTCATGGGAATTGGAAAATCTTATTGTTGCATTCCGACTTGCTGCAAGTGACCTATACTCTTTATGAAATAACTATTATAAATCCCGCGTCCTGATTGGTTTGGAACGCGTGCTTTACCAGAGCACACAGCATGCGTGTACTTCCTATTTTGTCATTGCTGTCCAAAATAACGACAATTCTAAGTCGTATTTCATTAAAGAAAAAAAGACTTTCTCGCTGAGTTGTGTGCAGTTTTGGGATGCTTTGGGATGGGAAGAACAATCCACTACTTGCTTCTCCTAACACTTCTCATGTGTTCTGCCAACACACAGCACGCGCGCGCATTTTTCTATTTCTTCAGTATCTCATAGTTTGAACACTGTCTTGTTTGAGAATGTCTCTGTATGTGGCAATAGAAACCTTTGAACCTTCTAACCAATGTTTGTTTACCATGGTATATGTATTGTTCTTCTAGGTGATGATGAAGTCCATCAGACTAGAATGGGTTCTTGGTAATATTCCTGAGGTAAGTTTCCATGCTTGCTTATCCTTTCCCCTCCCTCTATCTTACACCCAGACACGACAAAGAGAAACTAACTTTTCTTTTATTGATTATTCTTGTAGGCGAGCAAACTACTCGAAGAAGCGGTTCAGAAATATCCTGACTTTCCAAAGGTAGCGAGGGGGATGGATGGATGGAGGGAGGGAGGGGTGAATGGAGGGGTGGAGGGTGGGTGGATGGGTGGATGGATGGAGGGAGGGGGGGATGGAGGGAGGGAGGGATGAAGGGATGGAAGGATGGAGGGTGGGTGGGTGGATGGATGGATAAATGGATAAATGGAAAGATGTGAGTTAGATTGATATGGAGAGCTCGATGGATAAAATGTTTCATGGGAGGGAGGAAGAAAAAAAGAATAAATTAGTTGGTCGAGACATCTGAGTGGGTGGGTGGATGGATGGATAAATGGATAAATGGAAAGATGTGAGTTAGATTGATATGGAGAGCTCGATGGATAAAATGTTTCATGGGAGGGAGGAAGAAAAAAAGAATAAATTAGTTGGTCGAGACAAATGAGAAATGAAATGGATGGATAGGATTATCTTTCTTACATGGTTTATTATTTGTTGTAGTTGTGGATGATGAAAGGTCAAATCCAGCAACAAAAAGGAAACCAGGAGGAGGCTAGAGAAGCTTACAAACTAGGGGTGAGTGAGTCAATGCTCTTGATGTTATGTCATGTTCCCTTCAGTATAGTTTCTTTTTGAATAATTTAATTATTATCATTGTTATTTATTATTTATTATTATTATTATTACTATTACAGTATATTTTAATTTTGATAATTAATTTATCTGAATTGAAAGATAAGCAATATAATGCCTATGCAAAACAAAGAACGTCTAGAGAGTAGTGAAAATAAAAATGGCACGATCAGCAACAGCACCAGCATTGCCTTCAATATCCTCGATATTATAATCGACATTGTGTTCTCCAGCAACATCATTATTATCATGACCATCATCACAAATACCCTCATTATCACCACCATCCACGACCATTATCATCATCACTTCCACCATCATCATTATCATCACCACCATCCACCATCATCATCACCATCACCACTTCCACCACCATCAACATCATCATCACCATCACCATCGCCACTTCCACCATCATCATCATCATCACCATCACCACTTCCACCACCATCAACATCATCATCACCATCACCACTTCCACCACCATCAACATCATCATCACCATCACCACTTNCATCATCATCACCATCACCACTTCCACCACCATCAACATCATCATCACCATCACCACTTCCACCACCATCAACATCATCATCACCATCACCACTTCCACCATCATCATCATCATCACCATCACCACTTCCACCACCATCAACATAATCATCACCATCACCACTTCCACCACCATCAACATCATCATCACCATCATCATTTCCACCATCATCACTTCCACCATCATTGCCATCATCATCATCATCATCACCATTGTTATCATCACCACCACCATCATTGCCATCATCATCATCATCATCACCATTGTTATCATCACCATCCACCATCATCATTATTACCATCATAACCTTTTCTGTTCAATTATAGTTAAGAAAATGAAGTCCCCCTACATCTTCCATCTAACGACTTTCTCCTGGGTTTTTTTCCAAGGTCAAGAAATGTCCACATTCTATTCCTCTTTGGCTGTTATGGGCAAGATTAGAAGAAAAGATGGGTAAGCCATTGAAGTTGTCACGCACTCATTGATCTTGTCACGCACTAATTGGACTTGTCATATGCTCGTTGAGTTATAACGCATTTATTGACCTTCTCACGCACTCATTGATCTTGTTATACGCCCATTCATTTTGTCACGCGCTCATTGATCTTGTCACGCAATTATCGATCTCGCCACGAAATCCTTGATCTTTTCACGCACTCATTGATCTTGTCACGCATTCATGTCTCATGTCAGATCTTATAAATGAATGTTTGTTCACACCAGGACATACAACGAAAGCGAGGTCTGTGTTGGAGCAGGGAAGACAGAAGAATCCAAAGTGTCCAGAGTTGTGGTTAGTATTGAGTTTGAAGAACACTATAGACCCATTGCAGCACGTTAGAATGCAGCTTAATATGGAAGACATAACGATAGGTTTTCGATTTTAAAAAAAACATTTCACAACCACCACTCCCCGTACGGGGCTCTTCTGTGAGGTTCCCTTCACGCAATACCACTACATTCTATATTTACAACATACAACACTAGCACATACCCTGGACAGACCATGAAATCGTAGGGGATTTTGCACTGTTGAGAAAATGGCTTTAGAGCACTCATGGTGTGATGTACTGCTGTTGTTTTAGCGCTCATGCAGCGATACCTTATTACCTTATATACCTTAGTACGACTATACAATGTGCACATAACCTGGACAGACCATGAAATCGTATGGAAAAATGGTCATTTTTAGGACCCTTTTAGTTTGATGTGCTGCTGTACTGCTCTTAGTCTGTTTATTAGGTTTAATATTTGCTAGTGTATATGAGATACTTGGAAGATGATGGAATCAGGAGCCGAGTAAGATGTATAGACGATAAGAAAAGAAAGGAAATACTAGAGCGTTGTAAGGATAACTGCGATAACAAGGTTACTGAACATCATGATTTTTAGCTCGTGAAGAGCTATTGGGGTGGCTAGATTTCGCATTTTTCGGATACCGCTTCTCAGCCAATCATTTTGGGTAATTCCCGTAACCATGGAATCCATTGTATTCGCAAAGTGACGTCACTGGAGAGGAAGCCATTTTGGACTTTCGATCACTTCATAATGACATGTAATCAGCACATATTTTGAGTATTCTTAGTTTACTTGATGCTCTTTTTATTAGACCTTGAGATATGAGATTGTCGTATTTATCATTACGTTGAGAGAAGAATTCGAAAACAGTCTGGTTTGTCATATATTGGATCGATTACACATTTCGTAACCAGAAATCCGGAAAAAAATGATTGTAGCCAATCAGAAGCCAATAAATTAATTGATAAAGACAACAGTTTGTTTGCACAAAACATAACTCTGACTATCACCTTACTCGGGTCACAATACCCTCAATGAAATGAGTCACCAAGTGTCATTTGTTATCTTCTTAGTTCATTGGTACTCAAAAAGCTTCACGAGCTTACCATGGGCTTACCTTTGATTGGTTATACAAGAAGGCCATTATTTGATTGAATGTGATTACCATACGCCTCGGCTGCTGCCCGTAAACTATGAAAGCTCTTTCCTGGATTCTAAATCCGACCTATATAATGTGCGACTGTGATGCACCTTTTGTGACTTATGGACGACTTAAAGTATGCTCGAATTGTCTTGAGCAAGAACCTATAGTGACCTCAGTACCTTCTCTCAAGTGTTGTGATAAGCTAATGCGAATACGAGAAGATACTTCTGCATTTTGCAACTCCTGCGGAAAGATAAAAGAGAGGTTAAGCTTGTCGTTTACGGCAAACGTGAAACGTCAGTTGACCATTCAAAAATTCTTTAAAATTAGTGAAAAGGAATCTCAATGATCTCCAAGTAGTAGATAAAAATAAGAATATGTGTTTTTGTCGGGAAGGTTTGCAAAAGGTTAAGTGAAATGTAGGGAAACGATGAAAACGTGGTCACGTTTGCCGTTTGCGGGAAGGAAAAACGGGAATCTTAATCTGCCTATTATTCAACGCCGTACCGTGTGCGACGATGGACTAATATTTTGCTAACGGGGGTCGCAGGAGAACGCCTTACAAGAAAATAAAGTACTTTAGAGAGTGGATGAATCGTATTCAAGGTCGTTATCCCGTGTTTTCAGACGACCCAACGAAGGAAAAAATTAAAGCCAACCTCGAAGAACGGACTCCACAGGGTTTGAAGAAAACCTTGAGGAAGTTAAAGCTAGGACATTATAAGGATAATTCTTACCTTTTATCTGAGATTACAGGAGAGAAAATACCCGAGGTTTCTGTATATACCATGCTCAAAGCCGAGCAGATGTTTGTTCGACTGAATAAGGAGATTCTTTATTATTACCGCCACCCGGTTAGCTCAGTTGGTAAGAGCGTCGGTCTGTTGTGCGGGAGGGAGGTCGTGGTTCAAGCCTCTGCCGGACCAACACTCAGGTCAGGGTCTTAAAATAACTGAGGAGAAGGTGCTGCCTTTGCAATAATATCTGCAAATGGTTAGACCTTCAAGTCTTCTTGGACAAGGACTTTAAACCGTAGGCACTGTCTCCTAACCCTTCCTAACCTACAGTAAAATGGGGGACATAAAAGAACGTAAAAAGACGTAAAAAGAAACCCTGGCAGTGACCATCTTCAGTGCCTACACTTCATACTAACCATCTCTCATGCTTGTAAATTGCATAAAGCAATCTGTCATTCACAACTCCATGTGAAGCGCATTTGATTATATCCACATATTAAAGGGCGCTATAAAAAATCATAATCATTTCATTTTCATCATTTCATTATCCTGACTTGATCTACGAAATATTTTACAAAATAGACCCCAACCACCCCCTCTTGGGATGGATTCCAAGAAAATAGTGCAGGTGGATCTTATGGCATAAGATGAGCATGCGCACTTGGTCTCTTCCTTTTTATGTCGAAGAAACGTTTCGACTCGCTTGTTACTGACACTAATGGAATCTTAAACGAGATTTGGAACCTCTTTCCCGATACTCGAGAGTTCTTAACCAGGGCGAAGGTCTTCCTCAATGAGAAGTACTTTGGGGAAACGCCTGCAGCCAAGAAACCCAAGGACTTAGAAGGTATCGAAAGAAAGTTAAGGGATAGCCTGAACGATGAACGCTTCCTAGACTATGCCAACATCGAACAAGATCTAAAGGATGAAAATCGCGAGGAGATTTTGGAAAGCATTAGTCTGTTGTCGAGAGCCATCGGGGATTGCGATAGAAAGGCAATTTATTATTCTGCCCTACAAGGACTTTTCCTGAAACGCTTGTCCAAGAAAGACAGGGAGGAAATCAAGATGTCCAAGAGTCACAAAAGCTTCTTGATTAGTCTTGGTCGTTTGGTTAAGGATTATCCAAGGTTGAGGCACTGTGAACTGCCTTTGAATTTCTTTTGTGGAAAGCTGGGCGTCATTCGGGCCATTTGTGAGAATTCTGAGGGCTTTTGGGAAAGGGGTTGACTGTTTTACTGACTGGATTTGTCGTTGCAAATAAAACTTCAATAATTTGCATAATTCCTAGACTGACTTAAATTAAATCCCGTCTGGCTTTTCTCAAAACAAATACTTACTAAGCGAGTTTTCTTTGAAGCTCGCTTTTTTCCTGTTTGTATATATTTTTTCTTTCCTACTCGGTTATGTCCTTGACTACCACTTTTTTGTCCCTAATTTCGCTTTTCATTTTCTCGTGCTTATTTTCCTCGGCTAAAATAAGCGAGAATCCTTTGTCATCAATCTCCCTGTCACGTAACGTTTTGCTGGTAAGGTCAGCAATTGTATTACTCTTGTATTTTGCCAGCATCATATTCTGTTCGTGTTTTGAAATTTTCGCGGATAATTTCTTCATGATAGTAGCTGAAATAATTCCACACACAGCCCCAACACCTGCCAAAGGCACCCCTACGGTAACACCTGGTCCTGTTAAGCTTGTAGCGACGCCAGTGCCTGTAAGTGCCACGCTTAAGCTACCAGTAGTTATGGCTACCTTCTAGCCTATGCCTTGCCTGAGAATCTAAGTAAGCCAGTATCAAATTTGCTTTATTTAGACGAAAGTTCTCGGCGTTTATCTCATCAGGAACCGTAGGATATAGCGGTGGAGCAGTCGGTTCTTTAACATCCATTATATACTAATGTACAATGCCTTTGGAAACGACATAGAGGATAAGCATCTACACGACAAGCGTGATTTTTAGATCTTTAGAGCTTTCAAGAAGGCGTTTCCCCATGCGGACTTCGATAAGTTTGAGCCCAGGTCTGATGGTATCTACTACATACCCGCTGGGGAAAGGATGTACAGTAGCGCTGATTTGACCCCTAAGTTAGCTAAACCCCGGAGACCGGAGGAATGGAGACCGCTCTTAGCTACCCATTCTACGATAACAAGAGCGGTACAGATGCGTTTGCAAAGCAGGTTACATCTTTAGAGATTCCTGTGACGAAGTCTAAGACCTTTGACGTGACTGTCAGAGATGTTTTCAAAGAAACTACCATAGCACACACATCGGAGAAAGAGTCAAGAAGATGGTTATCGGCTTCTAACAGGGACGTAGCGTGGGAGAATCAAAGATATTGGGCTAAAGACTGTCCTAACTGCGGTATGTGCCGTAGAGATCACGTCTTTATATGTTTGGAGGGCGGCAGCGACAAGGAAGACTTCGAAAGTGTCCCACAGCCTTTGATGACTACTAAGAGTAAGCACCGACTGCGCAAAGAAGAGCGAATACTKGAACGACCAGGAGACGAATATGAAGGCTCCTCCGAAGGCCGCAAAGCGCAGATAGACTCCGTAGTGAACGGACTATTCTAGGCCTGTTCTAAGATATCTAGGGTCGATGAACGCTCTGCTTTAAGATGTATTGTTTAGTTATGGTTAACTGAGGTACTTCGAGATATCCTCCTAACCTCTACAAAATGCAAAAATGCAAATCTAACCAATATCCAACAAAACAACATTATTCAGCATAGCGCTTAACGACCCTAGATATCTTAGAACTCCAAAAAATAGTCAACCAATATTCAACGATACAACATCATACAGTATAGCTCTCTCGGACCCCAGACATCTTAGGAGTGCGGCAGGGTAAAAAAAAATGAGGTGTCTAAACAATACAACAATATTCAATATGCGATTCAGCGACCCCAGTACTTCCTTAACTTAGCACTTCCAACACGTCGATGCTCCAATACTCACGAGCGCTATCCTTAGTAATCTTTAATCCGTAATTCCTAACGTGGTATATTCTTTCTTCATTAGTTTCTCACGTAGCCGCGTGGGCGCCCAGACGGTAGTCAACCCCTGGTCGTCCCGCACTGTCAGCTTCATACTCTCGCCTATCAGAGTGTCTAGTAGTTCATAGTCCACGATGGCGTAGTTCTTACCCACCTCTAGGTCTCTCCACTTTGTCATCTCGGGGGCTTCTTGCAAAGCGTTTTCGAATTCCTCTTGCGTGATCATTATTACGTATATTTTTAAGATCTAAATGCGCAACCGCCTAGGCAATACAAGAATGCCCTGAGAACTCCTCCTCAAGGAATTCCTCGTTGCAATGAAGGCAGCGTATGTTGTATGTAAGTGGCTCACACTCTACGCAATCGTCAGTGGGTATGCTCGTGGTACAATCCATATACCTAAGGCGGGGCGCGCATGACATCCAGGATGATATCCTTCAGCCAATCTGCCAGTGTAAGCAGCGCAGCAAACCTACGCATGCGTACCTGAGAATCCAATGTTTCTTCCAAATCCAAGACCCTTTTCTCTAGTTGTCTCCAACCCACAGGTTGCGGAGAGATAAAATTCGTGGTAGAAAATCTGTTAGGACCTTTCAGAGGCAAGTTCGACTACATAAGCGTCGTCTACTAAACTTGTTAAAACAGTTGAGGAGGCTGCTGTTATTACCTCACTAGTGGCAGGCATTGGATGGATAGGCAAGAAAGCACTGAAGAAAAAAATTCACGGGAGACCCTAGCAGCAATGTGATGAATTACGTAAAGATGACTGCTGCGGTCTGCTAGCTAGTGGGTAGTTACCCATGGGTTTGTCGTGTCTACCGCATTTATGGTCAGGTAATGCGTAGTACATTACTCTATTTCGCCAGGCTTTAATCTTCTCATCTCTTAGTCTCCACATCCCAGATTCGACCTCTTCTTCTGGCCCATACATCGGGGAGCCCTTCAAACGTCGAATGCTCTCTCGGGTTAGGTACAGGCTATCCGTAGCTACCCTGAGAACTTCATCTACCTCAAACCGCATCAACATGCTTAGTAGATTTATGTGCGCATAAGCAAGCATGCTAGCACGTAAGTGGTGGTACTGTCCACGCGGGGCATCGTAGAAAGATACTATCCAAACCGTAGTAGCTTCTGGAGTGCCGTAGTCAATAACCTCACGTCCGAAATCTCACGTCCGACCAAGCATGGCCGTTATGACGGTAAACAACGATTCAGTAGCTCCGTCGTTTACGTAGGTTTCCCAACGGGCAATGGTCTTTTCTCGCTTAGGGGAAAGATTGCCTCCTCGGTTAGAATCTCTAAAGAATTCTCGCACTAAGTTAGCAACGCAATTACCAGCAGTGCGCATAGGTAGCATCTCTCCAAGGTCGGGATCTTCTATGCGTAGGAGCTCATAGACGACCACAGTCACGGGGTAGGCAACATTGTAGTACAAAGCATCTACCCCAACCAGGGCACCAGGGCGGATATCTCAGAAATTCACCTCGATGATTAATTGGCTCGTAGCTACGCTCTGAAACCCAGCTGCCATTTAACTCTTTAATGAACGTTACCATCAAGTAGTAATTACCTTCGGGCAGGTTCTCTAAGATATCTTCAGCACGCTCATGCGTCATGGTTGTTGCCATCCTCAGAAAAGGTCGTATAACTTAGCTGCATAGATTGCTTCACATTCCTCCATACTCGTCGAACTTCGCGGTTCCTAATGTATATATCACGGTCCATATACACTAGCGAATATTAAACCTAATAAGCAGGCTAAGAGCAGTACAGCAGCACATCAAACTAAAAGGGTCCTAAAAATAACAATTTTCCATACGGTTTCATGGTCTGTCCAGGTTATGTACACATGGTATAGTCGTACTAAGGCACGAATAAGGTATCGCTACATGAGCGCTAAAATATCAGCAGCACATCACACCATGAGTGCTCTAAAGCGATTTCCTCAAAAGTGCAAAATGCCATACGATTTCATGGTCTGTCCACGGTATGTGCTGCTACACTCAACTCACATGTTGATTTTTATGGAGGGAAGAAACCGGAGAGCCCAGAGAAAACCCTCGTGCAAAGGGAGAGAACAACACATCAAATAAACTCAACTCACATATGATCCAGTCTGATCCGGGGCTCGAACCCGGACCACAGCGGTGAGAGGCGAGCGGTAAACCACTACGCCATCCATGCCACCCAGGTTTCCGATTCTCATAAGATGAAAATTCTTTGGCTTTGTCCTCCAAATTGAGCTCCTTTGACGTCACATGCAAGTGGTCTGTTTATAACTTATTTACGACATGATCGCCTTGACGGCAGTTTTTTTCACTTACCCTAAACGTTTTCCTTTCTTTTCGTTTTCTTCCCTTCTTTTTTTTTTCACACTCTGTCTTTTTCCTCCCTTTTTCTCATTTCCATTTTCTCCCTTGTCATCCATCCATTCCTGTTTCCTTTTTGCCCAACCATTTTCTGTCTTTTTTCTTAAGGCTTGAAGCAGTACGTGTTGAGGTTCGAGGAGGCAACAAAGACTTCTCCAAGACTTTAATGGCTAAAGGTATTGTCAAGCTAAACCACATATGTTAGTTGTGTTGTTCTTTAATATGATTGGCTGAACAGTGATCTTCCCCGCACTCTGATTGGTCCTAAAGATGCATTTCAAAGTCTTACAAAATACGTTTAGTATAGTAATTAGCCATTTCGAGGAGGAAGAGTTTATGATAATAAGAAAACTCACGTTTTGGCACTTTTCAAGCTCACAAAGTCGGTACAAAGTTCATGTGAGATGAATAAATTATCTCTGTGAGTGACGTTGAAGCCAGTAAAATGATTCAAGAGCTCACTTGAGATAAATAGATTTTTTTCTCTCAGAAAATCTTAATTTACTTCTCTAATTCCTTGGCAACCAGTTTTATAAAGCTTACTTCTAATTTTCTAAGCTATTTTCGATCTATCTTCAGAAAGAAAACGCACGTTTTGACTCCAAGCTCACAAAGTCGGTACCAAGTTCATGTGAGATGAATAAATTATCTCTGTGAGTGACGTTGAAGCCAGTAAAATGTTTCAAGAGCTCACTTCAGATAAATAGATTTTTTTTCTCACAGAATATCTTAATTTACTTCTTCAACTCATAGAAAACCAGTTTTAGAAAACTCAATTCTAATTTTCTGTGCAATTTATGACTTACATCGAGATAGAAAACACACGTTTTAGCACTTTTGACTCCAAGCTCACAAAGTCGATACAAAGTTCATGGGAAATGAATACATTATCTCTGCGAGTGACGTTGAAGCCAGTAAAATGTCTCAAAACTTTATACCAGATAAATAGATTTTTTTCTCATAGAAAATCTTAGATTACTTTTTTAGTTTATAGAAAACCAGTTTTAGAAAACTTTATTTTAATTTTCTGGACAATTTATGACTTACATTAAGAAAGAAAACACACGTTTCGGCACTTTTGACTCCAAACTCACAAAGTCGGTACAAAATTCATGTGAGATGAATGAATTATCTCTGTGAGTGACGTCGAAGCCAGTAAAATGTTTCATAACTTTACACCAGATAAATAGATTTTTTCTCATAGAAAATCTTAATTTACTTCTCTAATCCCTTTGCAAACAGTTTTAGAAAACTGAATTACAATTTTCTGAGCTATTTTTGACCTATATCGAGAATGAAAACAAACGTTTTGGCACTTTTGACTCCAAGCTCACAAAGTCGGTACAAAGTTCATGTGAGATGAATAAATTATCTCTGTGAGTGACGTTGAAGCCAGTAAAATGTTTCAAGAGCTCACTTCAGATAAATAGATTTTTTTCTCGCAGAATATCTTAATTTTCTTCTTCAACTCATAGAAAACCAGTTTTAGAAAACTCAATTCTAATTTTCTGTGCAAGTTATGACTTACATCGAGAAAGAAAACGCACGTTTTGGCACTTTTGACTCCAAGCTCACAAATTCGGTACAAAGTTCTTGTGAGATGAATAAATTATCTCTTTGAGTGACGTTGAAGCCAGTAAAATGTTTCAAAACTTCTCACCAGATAAAATTTTTTTTTTCTTAAAGAAAATCTTAATTTACTTCTTCATTTTCTACGCATCTAGTTTTAAAAAACTATTTAATTTTCTGCGCAAGTTATGACTTACATCGAGAAAGAAAACACTCGTTTTGGCACTTTTGACTGCAAGCTTAAATTCGGTACAAAGTTCATGTGAGATGAATAAATTATAAATTTCTCATAGAAAATCTTAATTTACTTCTCTAATCCCTTGGCAAACAGTTTTAGAAAACTGAATTCTAATTTTCTGGGCTATTTTTGATCTATCTTCATAAAGACAACACACGTTTTTGCACTTTTGACTCCAAGCTCACAAAGTCGGTACAAAGTCCTGAAAAATCTGCTTCTAATTTCAGCGTTACAAGAATGTCCTACATCCGGGATAATCTGGTCAGAGGCTATCTTTATGGATCCAAGGCCCCAGCGTAAGACACGTAGCGTCGATGCTCTGAAACGATGTGAACACGACCCTCATGTGCTTCTAGCAGTTGCTAAGTAAGATTGATAACAGAAATATGTATTATTAATGATAAAAGGGTAAATTTTACACCGTAAAAAGGTGAAAAAAAGAAAGAACTTACTGACGTTTCGGACGCTAATCCTTCGTCGGAGTAAAAGCTTCGACGAAGAAGAGTAAAAAACTCCGACGAATAAGGACTAGCGTCCGAAACGTCAGTAAGTTCTTTCTTTTTTTCACCTTTTCACGGTGTAAAATTTACCCTTTTATCACTACTGTTTCATTAGAAACACCGACGCAGCTCACACTAATCTTTAGCTAGTTATCTCTTCTATATATTATTAGGATATTATTAGTGAATATTAGATGGAAATGGGTGAACTTGAAATATGAGGTCGTCCACATGAAGGTAGGGTGACCCCACTGAAAGGTTACCTCTTTTGTTTTTGATGTTCTCTGGGTAAAAAAAAGTCGTCGTTTGCATAGAATATTGAATGGAGTGGTAATGTGTATGAGTGAAAAGTGTCCCCAATGAGTGCGAAAATGCTAGAAAGACGAGGCACATAAATATGATATAGTTTATGTTGGTGTATGATCAAAAAATCACTTTAAACTCCAAAATTCGTCACCATCCTGTTATTCAGCTTCAAAAATCAATACACTTTTTCACATTGGGCGTAATATTTTGCCTATTTCAGACCACGTGTCATTCCCTTGAGTATCATTTCTATGTTTGGATCCAATTAGTATTGGAAATTGCACGATCTCGAGTACAATTTATTTATAGGTACGAGTGATGTTTTGATTTTTTTTTCAAAATTGGATGAGCCTTTTTGAGAACTTTTAAAACATCACGAGTATCTATAAATTCCGAAAAGAGTGTGCGATTTTTTTGTTTACAATACACTCAACAAAATTGAGCAACTTAATTGGGAATCTACAGAGTACAATTTGGGATTTAATTGTACTCCTCGTCCAATAAGAGTCGAGTAATTTTGTCGAGTGTTTCATAAAAGAAAGAATCCTATTCTCAAAGAAATAACACGTGGTCTTAAATCTAGAGAGGTCTGTTGATTAAAAAAATTTTTTTTGCCTTTGTTAATGTAGTAGCACTGTAATATTTTAGATTTATCTCAAATACCTATACATTCTTACTTTATTAATACAATGCTTACAGATTGTTCTGGAGCGAGAGAAAGGTTTCAAAAGCAAGAGACTGGTTCAACAGGTCAGTATATGATATGACAGCATAGCAATTTCAAGCATATTAACATTCAGATTATTTCCCCCTGTCGTTTTAATTGGCTGAGACAACCGCAAATATCTGCCTACAAATAATATTCTGCTCATGCGCATTATTAGCTTCCTCCGTAGACTACCCCATATATTCTCTGTTGGGATCCCTGTGTTAAATTTTATGGCAATCAATCAATTCATCAATCAATCAATGAACTTTATTTATCACGGTAGACGGCTCAGCAAGCTGATTTTTCAATTGAGCTACGCCTGCTATTATCATTAAATCATTAGAGAGGAATAACTCGTTCCACCCTTTCATCTTACTTTATTTGCTCCACTTTGTACATCAGGGCTGTGAAACTCGACCCCGACTTTGGCGATGCCTGGGCGTACTTTTATAGGTTCGAACAACAACATGGAACAGAGGTAATTGTACCACCTCAACCACCTCCATATATACATATACATGGCTAATTGATAAAACGTAGTCGGGTTCAAGAAGGTCATATCATCGAATCTAAGACCAGAAAAGGATTTTGGGTACTCCAAAACGTGTATCATATTTGCATATAGACATGCAAAAATGCACAGTAGAGCAAAGTTGGTTGACCTAGATTAACAACATGCCAAAGCCATGATGCATAAAATGTGCACAGGAAGGGAAAACTGCAATATACATGAAATTAGCATAATTGTTTGTCTTCCCATGCTCCCTTTCGGTCTTAGCCTTGATGGTATAACCTTTTTTTGAACTTGACAACGTTTTTTCAATTAGGTGTATACACCTATTTCAAGTAAACGTAAAGTAAACGTAGGAATGAATTGTGCTTTTGTGTTTTCTAGCTAAAATACAAAAAGTATCGGCACATTTTGAATTCAAAAATCATGCTTCATATTCAAATCTAAAAGTAAACTGTGTTGTTTGGCAGCGTGCTACTCTCTCTCAGATTTAGATTTACGTCCGACAACGTTCTTTTGAAATAGGTGTATAATAGTGTTAAGATCCATCTGAGCGGTGAATGCGGCGCGCAAAACATGAGTGGACAATTTTACATTAACTTATAAATTTCTCGCACGCTGATTGGTTACTTTCTATCATCAATAAGAGGACAGACAGATAAAGCTGACGTCAACGAGCGCGCACTCTTTCCGTTGGTTGTTTTGATCGGTAAAAATGAGAAGTTTTTATCGTTTTTGTTATCGTAAAAAACAAATAGACATCAGTTTTTTATATGTCTGTACTCTTATTGACGATAAATTGCGTCATCACATTGAGTAGTATAGGGGTTGGGGGTCCCAACTCACACGCCACCCCGAAATAACCCGTCTTAAAAGCATACGCCCCGGTTTCATTCGGGTTTTGAGAGCAACGTGGCCCGGGGTTATTCCACCAAGAGATTACGGGATCTTCCCGCCATCCACGACCCATTTGAGACCGTGAATGCAGCCACTAACGAATGCCATTAAATATGCTAACATATATTATGAAGTGTGAACGATGTGAGAGGGAATTCAAAAGGAAGGCTGACCTAACCAAGCACTTGTTAGAAGAGTATATTTTTGCCCATTGTTTCGGCAACCATTTTCGGCTACCTTTTCTACTCTCGTAGACACATTTTGCGTATTTGTGTCCACTGCGCTGGTAGTGTCCGTAGCAAGGTGGAGGCACTTGCAAGTAGCCAAAAACCTTCTACTCCTATATATAGAAGATGGAAGAGCAAAAGAGTATTTCGACTACATT